AAAAAAAAAAAAAAAAAAAAAGTGACTAAAACATAGATGTCAAGCCACTAAGAAGGCAAAACAACCATTCATTGTTTTGGGGGTTCCGTTAATATACTATAGCAAAAAAAAAACCCTATGATATATGCTATTACAACCTGTGGCATTGGGAATGGTTTATCGTCAATGATTCCAAATATCTACTTCAATCGGCACATGAGTAAATAACATACTTAACCCACCCTCCAATTTGTCACTGCCAAAATAATCTTAACTTTTCTAGGCATAACTTCAAGGCTGAAGTCTACATCATCTCTCTGTGTGGAGAGTGTCCATGAAAGTTATACCCAACAACAAGCATACAATACATAATTTGGGAAATTTTTAAAAGTTAAATTGAGCCTTCCCAACTAATATGATAATGACGTTTTTCCAACTATAAACAGATATGTTCCTTTGTGATCTGAGTTGACAATTTTCAACCATAATGTAGAAAAATGGAGCTGAAAAGGCCCTACAGATATTAGGGATACCTTGGAGACACTCTAGTCCAAACCTCCTATTTTACAGATGAGAAACATAGGCCGAGGAAGGAGAAATTATTCATTTGTCCAAACACACACAATATAATAGTGGAAAAGCCAATGAATGGTCCCTGGGCTTCAGCCCATCTCGGTGACTGCTTTCTAGACAGCGTATCAGGCTCAGAGGACGCTGGGAGACCCTACTCTGCTCATTATCCAACTGGCTGCCTGTGCCCACTGTTTTCTGACCTGGCCCTCTGGGCCCCTGTCCCAGTCCCCTCAGGCCCCTGCTCACGTGATGAAGGGTCCATAGGCCAGGCCCTGCTGGTCCCGGTGCTCCTTCCATAGGTCCATTTCATTCCGTATGGGGTACTTGCCCTCTTGCCGCATCACTTGCTCCAAGAGTGGGGCACTGGCCAGGTTCACATAGCTGTGAGACCCTACGTAGGATATCCATATTGGACCATACGTGGCCTTGTTCAGCACCTGCAGGGTTCAACCAAAGCTGAATAACTGGGGCCCAGCTAGGCAGGCACTTCTTGGAGAGATGGGATGGAAAAAGGTCTGATGGCTACACCAGAGCAAGTGGGGTGGGCAAAAGTACATTGGAGGTAGGCACTGGGATGGTGTGGTTCCAGAGGGAGAGAACTGACAAAAGGGGCACACAAGGAGGTAGAATATCAAGAGCAATGAATATCTGGTGGAACTGGGGGAATTAAGGTCCTTGGAGGAAAAAGGGTTTGGAAAAACGGGATATGTGGCAAACTGCAGTATGTTGAGGTGTAGATATTTGGGGTCCAGCATTTTAGGAAAACTGAGCCCTTTAGGGAGGTATGGTGTTGGAAAGCCTGTGGTTCCTTCTTAGCATTTAATCTACTGCATCTTGCTGTCAATGAGATGAAGATAAACATGATGTGTAATCAACAAGAAAAAGGAAACACAATTTGAAAATAGGAAAAACAAGAAGCTGGATGAGAAAGTCAGGGTCCAAATATGAAATAAGCCATGCAGTGTGTGAATTCTTTTTTGAAAAATAAAAAAATGTATTGACTGTGTTAAGTAATATAATTCTCAAATATTTTATCTTAGAATTTCTAAAGCACTTGACAACTGATACCCATAGCACCTGTGAAATGGACATTGCTATGATGTTTTTATAATTGCTGAAAATGAGAGAAAAGAAATACATTATGGGTTTTGGGAGGGGATAAAACTTAAAAAGAATCCACAAATCTTGAGACTAAGTTTACTAGCTAAATTATACCTACAAAGAAAATGAAACATAGTGGTTTCCCAGGTACTTCATCTTTCACAATCTGTTACTGAAGAGATTTAAAGAGGATCAGAATCTGCTCCAGTATAAAAATTGTGAAAATTCTCCTGTAAAAGAGGCATTAAAATTATAGAGAAGAGATCTATCATTCAAATTATAGAAGGAATCCTCACCCAACTCATAGTCCAGAAAAACAGCAAACCTACTGGGTCTTACTATTGACATTAAAAATTGGATTCTCCTAGGACAAAAGCAACGTAAACAAAATATACCACCCAATTGCCCAGTATCTATCCTGAACTAATGGCTGATTCTTCCAGTTCCTAGGGGTCTTGACAAACCCCCAACATCCATTTAGGCTTGTTTCCCGCTTCTACCTCCCAGTAACAACTGCCAGTGTGACGTGATTTTGAACAGTTGATTGTATGTAAACAACAGGGAATATGCCCATATTCCTGAATGGAAGTGGGCATATTCGTAAACGTTACTGGTGGGAGTCTAAAATGACACATCCACACTTGCAGGATAATTTGTTAATATTAATAAAAATTACAAATATTTATAAACAAAGTATGGGACATCCACATAATGGAATATTATATCATCTTAAAAAGAAATGAAGAAGTTCCTTGTGTGCTAATGTGGTAAGATGCCCAAGATAGATTGTTAAGTGAAAAAATATGATTAAATACCATTTATCTAAGAAAGATACAATAAGAATATATAGTATTTGTATTTGCTTTTATAGAGAAACGATGGATACATAAGAAATAAAGTGATTACTATGGAAGGGTGGGGGGACAGCAGTGGGAGTACAACTGCTCAATGTACATCATGTTACATTGTTTTGAATTTTGAACTATGAGAATATATTCTAAAGGGGAAAAAAGAAAAAAGAAAAAAAAAAGAAACAATGTTTTTTGAAACAGTAAGTCACCTGCCATTGATCAGATAATTCTAGAAGGTAAGAAAACCTTGCTGAACCTTCGAATTCATGTATTCGAGGGGACCTCAGGAAGTTCATGGAAAATGGAATTAAAAGATACAAATTCACAATACAAACTTTATTTCTCAACATAATCTCCATCAAGTTCAAGACACTTTTTTAAGTGATGATATCAGGCACTTAGTCCATCCCTACAGAACTGAGGGTCCTGGGAACTTAACCACGTCAATGCAGTCTTTTTTACATTGTTTACTGAAGAAAAATGGGTGCCCTTTAAAGATTTTTTAAGGTTAGGAAACAAAACGAAGTTAGAAGGAGCCAAATCAGGACTGGAAGGCAGATGCCTAATGATTTCCCACTGAAACTCCAGCAAAATTGCCCTTGTTTGACGAGAGGAATGAGCAGGAGCGCTGTCGTGGTGGAGAAGGACTCTCTGGGGAAGCTTTCTCAGGTGTTTTTCTGCTAAAGCTTTGGCGCTCTCAAAAAATTCTCCTAATAAGCAGATGTTATTGTTTTTTGGCGCTCCAGAAAGTGAATAGGCAAAATGCTTCGAGCATCCTAAAAAACTGTTGCCATGACCTTTGTTCTTGACAGGTCCGCTTTGGCTTTGACTGATCACTTCTACCTTTGGTAGCCATGGCTTTGATTGTGCTTTGTCTTCAGGATCACACCGGTAAAGCCATGTTTCATCTCCTGTAAACAATTCTTTGAAGAAATGCTTCGAGATCTTGATCTCACTTTGATATGGATTGTGTCCTCCAAGTTTGATGTATTAGTAGCTTGATCCCCACTGTGACTGTTCAGAGGGTGGGAAATTCTATTATGGTAATTGCGAGGTGGGCCTTGAAGAGGTGATTAGATTGTAGGACCGTGCAGTAGCGAATGGATTAAAAACGGTGGTCATGGGTGTGGTTCTGGGGGCTTTAAAAGATGAGCACATGAGAGGTTATTTTCTCTCTGCTTCCACCACCTTGCAATGTGAGACCACCACCTTATTGTCGTCACTGTTGCCAACACCAAATGTGTTCCTCGGACTTTGGACTTCCCAGCCTCTGAAACTATAAGCAATAAATTTTGTTTTCCTTATGAATCACCCAGTTCCAGGTACTTCTGTAATAAGTAATAGAAATGGACTAATACACACTTGTTCAAAATTTCCATGGAAAGCTCTACCCTTGTCTGCAGCTGCTCTGGGTATAACAGTTTAGGCACCCATTGAGTGAAAAGTTTGCTCGCCTTTAATTTTTCAGTCAGAATCGTGTAAGCTGAACCAATTGAGATGTCTATGGTGTTGGCTATTGTTTCTGCTGTTAACCATTGGTCCTCTACTATTAAGGCACAAACAAGATTAATTTTTTCCTTGCAAATTGGTGTGCGTGGTCTGCTGCTGTAAGCTTCAAGAACACTGTCTTGTTCATTCTTAAAATGAGTTATCCATTTGTAAACTGCTGATTTCTTTGCGGCATTTTCCCCATAAACTTTTCATAAAGCATCAATAATTTCACCATTCTTCCACCCAAGCTTCACCATAAATTTGATGTTCATTCTTGCTTCTATTTTAGCAGAGTTCATGTTGCTCACGAGCTCTTTTCAAACTGATGTCTTAACCTCCTTAATGCCTCAAACTAGATCCTGTTCAGACATGTTATGACAAGTTAGTATGAGTTTATTTTGTTGCAAAAACATTTTGAAATCCATGCATAGTTTTTTCAAAATACATATTTGCCATGAACTTTTTTGAAGAACCCCTCATATACAACTTAGATTTATAAGTGGGCCCTAGCCATATTCATTTTCCTGTAAATAAGTTTTATTTATTTTCTTAAAGTTTCCATTTTAAAAAATACTTTACATACAGGTCTATTTTTCTCTATGAAATTCCTTAGGAGATTTATCCTAAAAGTAGGCTTAATTTATGTTTCCACTTGATTTAAGACATTGTCTTAGTCCATTTTGTGTTGCTATAACAGAATACTACAGACTGGGTATTTTATAAAGAAAAGAAATTTATTTCTCACAGTTCCAGAGGCTAAGTCCAATATCAAGGTGCCAGCACTGGGTGAGAGCCTTCTTGCTATGTCATCCCATGGCAGAAGGCAGAAGAGGAAAAGAGCATACATTAGAGCAAGAGAGGGCCGAACTTGCTTTTATAACACCCATTCCCAAAGTAATGACATTAATCCATTCATGAGGGGTAGAGCCCTCATGGCCCAATCACGTCTTAATGGCCCCATCTCTTAATACTGTCACAGTGGCAATTAAATTTCAACATCAGTTTTGGAGGGGACATTCAAACCATAGCAGGCATTAATAATAATAATTGCACATATTTCCATATGGCTGACCATAAACCAGACGCTGTTCCAAGCACTTCTCTTATTAGCTCATTCAACTCTTACTGCAGCTGTATGAGGTAGGTTTAACATTATTACAATTTTGCAGATGAGGAAACTGAGGCCCAAAGAAGTTGGCTGGCCTGTTAGCTCAGTCAGTAAGAGCATGGCCTTGTGTATTAGTCCATTTGTGTTGTTATAACAGAACACCTGAGACTGGGTAATTTATAAAGAACAGAGGCTTATTTGGTTTACGATTCTGGGGCAGCTGCATCTGGCATGGGCCTCAGGCTGCTTCTACTCATGGCAGGAAATGGCAGGCAGACAGCAAATAAAAGCAGATCACATGGCAAGAGGAAAGCAAGAGAGAGTGGAAGCAAGAGAGGAGAGGTGACAGGGTCTTTTAAACAACTAGCTCTCTTGGGAACTAACAGAGTGAGAACTCACTCATTAATCCCCCCACCTAGGGAGAGGATTAATCCATTCATGAGGGATCCGCCCCTATGACTCAATCAGTTTCCAACACTGCCACACTGGGGATCAGATTTCCACATGAGTTTGGGAGGGGACAACACATCCAAACTCCATCCCCTTGCAACACCAAGGTCAAGAGTTCAGTTCCCCATGTTGACCAACCCCCAAAAAAAAAAAAAAAAAAACCTGAGACTGGGTAATTTATAAAGAACAGAGGCTTATTTGGTTTACGATTCTGGGGCAGCTGCATCTGGCATGGGCCTCAGGCTGCTTCTACTCATGGCAGGAAATGGCAGGCAGACAGCAAATAAAAGCAGATCACATGGCAAGAGGAAAGCAAGAGAGAGTGGAAGCAAGAGAGGAGAGGTGACAGGGTCTTTTAAACAACTAGCTCTCTTGGGAACTAACAGAGTGAGAACTCACTCATTAATCCCCCCACCTAGGGAGAGGATTAATCCAT